TATGATACTCAAGCAACACCTAAGAGGATTATATAATTAACCTTTAAAAAGGGACCAAATTAGTACACAGAGAGGTGGTTTTTTTCTTTTTTTAAATCAAGGAACAGCAAATAAAAGCTGTAGGTTTAAATGACTGCAAGGAAGGAAGGAAATTGACGTTCAGTATCAGGAAGTGGAAAGGACACAGACTATAAAGTGGGCTATATAAATAGAACCAATAAACAAGGACACACACATACACAGCTCAAGTTTACATTTGTGAGGGGTGGGATGAGTGAATGTTATGCTTGAATACTTCCAAATATTCATGATTTCACGGTGTAGCTTATTCCTTCCACCAATGCAGACTGGTGCTTTAGTAGACAGTTTTATTATGAGTTGCTATGGCCAAAAAACAATTCCTAGTAATGCTTGTGCTCAGGTGACACATAGTCTTGTTGGTATAGTTTGGGCCTTCTCAGTCTGGGCCTGAGCCTGGGCCTGCCTAGCTTTTGAAAGCCCATGATCATTTCTATGTCACACTAAATTATACATCAGATGATGAACAGTTAAGATAATTTTGATGACTTGCAAGGATTGATTTGCTAATGATTAAATTAGTTTTTAGTGAATCTCATCTCTAACACACACTTAATCAACACTCATGTGGGAGGACTATGCTATAGGCCATGATGCAAAGGGCCTTAGAATCTAAGAGGGAAAGCAGGATATATACATGAAAAGTTGACAATATAAGGCAAATGATGATAGATACAATAAGGGTGAATTCTGAGGACCGAGTGCCACAAGGACTAGCTAGTTGGGAGAGCAGGACTTGAGATGAGCCTTGAAGAATGGGGTAGAATTAGACAAGCAAAGACGAATAAGGAAGGGAAGGAAGAAGGCATTCTTAGATGAGGAACATAGACAAAAATATAAACAACACATTCAGAAGAACGGGAATGGGGGATCTTCTGAATGGGGGAGGGCTCATTCTGGGAAATAATGGGAGCTAAGTTTGGAGAGGTAGGGAGGGCCCAGATAATGGACAGTCTTAAATGCTAAGCTAAGGATTTCATCCTGGGCATGTGAGGCAGAGCAGAGCAAACAATCTAAAGTTTCAAGCTTTGGTTACTGAATTTTAGCACCATTGGTATAAATGGGAGTTTCTGGGTTTTTTTGGAGGGGTGTGATCATGGTAGAATTTTTTGTTTTAGACATGTTGAACTTGAGGTAGAACAACCAGATAGAGTTGTCCAAGGGGCAGAGAAGTGGAGCTGAAAATGAAAGGCTTAGGTGGGACTGCAGATGGAAATTTGGGCATCTTCATTATGGAGGTTGAATGGAGGGTGGAACCGCTGAGGAATAGCAGTGTGGCTTCCGGGGTCTGAGAACCAGAGCTGAACTCCTGTTAAAGGAAGGGGATGGGACTAGTAGGCCTCTGAACCCCCTCCCCTCCAACTCTAGATCCATGAACCCCCAATGGACACATCATCACTAGAACTGTTCTCTGAAGTTATCAGTGATCTCTTAATCGCCAAATCCAATAGCCTTTTCTCAATCCTCATTCTGCTTGACCTCCCTCTGCAGCCTTTGACACTCTCTTCCCTCCAGGTTTTCAGGACATCCCTTCTCCTGCTTCTCCTCCTGTCTATCTGACTGCTCCTTCTCTGTCTCCTTTGCTAGATCCTCATCTAGATCATGGCCTCTAACAGTCTGTGTCCCACAGGGTTCTGTCCTGGACCCTTTTCTCTTCTCTCTCTGTACTGCATCAACTGGTGATCTCATCAGCTCCCACGGATTTAATGATCATCTCTATGAGGCTGATTCTCAAATCTACCTATCCTGCCCTAACCTCTCAGCTGACCTCCAGACTTGCGTCTCCAATTATCTTTTAGACATCTCCAACTGGATGTCCAATAGACCTCTCAAACTCAACATGTCCAAAACTGAACTCACTATTTCCCCCCTAAATACCCCATCCCCCACCAACTTCCTATTATTGGAAGGCAACATCATCTTCCCAGTCTCTCAGGCTTGCAGCCCAGGTGTCATCATCAACTCAATAACTCTTACCCTCCAAATTCAATCTGCTGCCAAGGCCTGTTGATTTCACCCTTGTAACATCTCTTAACACCCCCCCATCCCCTACCCCACTTCCTCTGCTGTGACACTGCCACCACTTTGGTGCCTGGACCACTGCTGGGTCTGCCTGCCTTAAGTCTCTCACCACTCCAATCAGTCACCAAAGGCATTTTCCTAAAACTAAGGTCTGGACTATTCCACCCTCTCTCCTAACTCTACAAAACCCAGTGGCTCCCTATTGCCTCCAGGACCAAATAGAAAATCCTCTGTTTGGTGTTCAAAGCCCTTGATGACCCAGCCCCCTCCTACCTTTCCAGTCTTCATATTTAACCTTATTTCCTGCCACCTACTCTTCAATCTAGTGTTACTGGCCTCTTTGGTATTCCGTGAACCAGACACTCCATAAAACCCCATCTTCTACAGCCTTTCACAGCTCTTTAATTCTAGTGCCTTCTCTCTCTGTTTCATCTTGCTTTTTGGCAATCAGGGTTAAGTGACTTGCCCAGGGTCACACAGTTAGTAAGTGTTATGTGTCTGAGGCCAGATTTGAACTCAGGTCCTCCTGACTCCAAGGCTGGAGCTCTATCCACTTTGCCACATAGCTGCTGCTCCTGCCTTCTCTCTTAATTGACTATTTATCCCGTATGTAGCTTGTTTGTACATATTTGCTTGCTTATTGTCTTCTCCACTAGATTATGAGCTTCTTGAGGGTAGGGACTATCTTTTACCTCTTTCTGCCTCCCCAGTACTTAGCAGCACAGTGCCTGGCACAAAGTAGGACTTAATGTTGATTATCATCAAAGCCACACTCTCTTTTAAAGTTTCTCTAATTCTGCTTCCATTTCCTTTATTCTTAATAAATGCCAGCCCAGAATAACTTTGCCTAAGCCTTCAAATTTTCCTGAAAATAACAGCTAACATTTGTAGAGTATTTACTTTGCGCGAGGCACTGTGTTAAGCACTCTACAATTATTCAATCTCATTGGATTCTTGCAACAACCGTGGGAGGTAGGTATTATTACTATTATCTCCATTACAGATGAGGAAAGTGAAGTAAACAGTGTGACTTGCCCAGGGTCACACAGCTAGCAAAGCAGCTGGGGCAGGATTTGAACTGAGATCTTCCTGACTCAAAGCCCAGCCCTCTATCCACTGTACCACCTAGCTAAAAGACCATCTTGAATCTGTAATGTATTCTTCAAGGGCTTTTTTAAATCTGTATGTACTCCTATAATCCTTTCTTCCTTCACCTACCCCCTTTAATAGCATTTATTTAGTACTACTACCAGAAAAAGAGAAAAGGAGAAATTATGCAGCTAAGCTGCTTTAGGAAGAAATTATACCTACCAGCCTGCTCTATTTGCCTAGAACTCAATCATCAAACCCCCCCCCCTTAAAAACTCTTATAATCAGCAAACTGGGTCATTGTGCCACTTTTTGTCTGCCCTGGCCAGGCCTTTAGAATGGCTCTGTTGCTGCTAACTAGACGAAGGGAAGAAAACAGATGGTGCAAATAAGTGAGAGATTTCCTCCATAAAAGGGAGGCTGACGGTGGAGAAATACACAAGGGTGGGAAATAATGCCAAGTACAGACATTTTATCCTTGTGGCATCTTTGTGATGTATGGGCTTCATTTTCCTCATTTTACAAGTAAACGCAGAGACATCAAATGTTTCATCCAGGGTCAATGAGGCCAGAACCCAGCACATTCTTGGCACCATAGCACAACCCAAAGCACTGACTGATTATATGGGATTCCGAAGTAGCTTTGATTCACTGGAAAGAGCAAAAAGTTCTTCTGCTTGGGGAAGGATGGACTTCTCTAGTTCTAACAGTTGCTCCAGGGGCTCATGGGAGATTGTGTCTAGTACCTGTATAAGATTCACAGCCGAGTTCAAAAATGCATTTGTTGGCAATCATCTGCCAAGTATGACTTCCAAACTCCAAGGATGCCATTAAAAGCTCATGCCCAAGGGTTGGAAGGCTAGCCTCTTGTTAATGGACTTCCAGTGGTGTGGTTCCCTGTAACTGCAGTACTTCAAGACGATGGATTAGTTCGCCCCTCCCATTCTTACTCCTCTGCAGTTACAGCAGAGATGGCTTTTTCCTGCCAGCACTGAACTTCTTGGACAAATGATTCAAAGTATTTTTTGAGCTGAGATATATAATACTGGTCCACTACTTTCAAATTTCTCACTAAAAAAACAGAGTAGGGTAATGATGATGTTTTGCCCTAGAATCACTTTGATTCAAAAGACCTGAATTTAAATACTGGTTCTATTTACTATCTATGATGCATGACAACCTTGGACAAATTTCACCTCTCTGGGTCTCAGTTTCCTTATCTATAAAACAAGGGAGTAAGATCAGATGATCTCTGAAGTCTGTTTCAATTCCAAAATCTGCGATCTTATACTTTCTCAAGTTTCCTCCCCACTCCTAAATCCCTCCATCTGTCACAACATATTAAAAAGCCTCTCTGCTCTGGAAATACTCATGTATATCTTATCATCTTGCAGACTAGACTGAGGAAGGCAAAGGCCAGGAGCTTTGAGTAGGTAAGAGCAGGAACCTACCTAGCAGCACTGGCACTACCTGCCTTGAGGCCTCCAATACTTTGATGAGAGTCAAAAGGACTATACAAATATGTGTAAGCTAGTGGGTGTTTCTGAGCCTCTCAGGGAAGCCTGTTATACATACATTGGAAGATGATCTAGTGAACAAGTAATTTTATTTGTTTGATGTTTTCTTTAGAGCTAAATAGATCCTTTTGCTCCACAAAGGAGAGCAGTAGAAAATACAGCTGCTAAACTTTGGGGGAAATGCTTTAACCAATAGACTGTTTATAACCAAGCTTCCAATCTCTTGAAGATTTCATGAAACAGCACAAGAATGCAAACTTTTAACTGTTCCTCCCGACAAACACAAGTCAGGGATAAGGGGTTCAATGTGCAAAGTCTTTTATTTAAAGTTTTGTAAAGTTAAGACTTATGATGACCTCAATATATACCATCCCTATTATCAAGAGGAATGGCAGTTTCAAACTCATCCAGAGCTATAGCATTATTTACAGAGTTCTTTAGGCACTTTAGAAGTGAAGCTTAGCTTCAAAATACAAACACTGAGGGCTTTGGCTCAACCTTTTAATATAAAAAAATTCACCGATGTACAAAAACGCTAAAATGTGACACGAACATATGAAAACCTGTGGCTGAAATTCCCTATGTGTGTGCACATAGGCACAACACTCACCCACCCACACAGTCACCCTCACTCTGCAGTGGAAACATAAACTAATTCAAATTGATGCGACCAAGAAGCATTGAAATCTGCATTTTTTGCTTCCACTTTTCACAGATCAGGATCTACTCCAAACATTTTGTAACAAAAAGCACAGTATCTTCCTCAGGAGCTATAAGGCAAACATCTTACTCCCGATGGACCAGCACAAATAAACCCAGTAAAAAGAGGACTGCATACTGGAAAACAAACAGACAAAGGAACAAAAATCAGATTGTTTGCAGATCTACATTTAGTCCTCCCCCCACTTTCTACCCCCTGCCAAGAAACTTAAACTAACCGATAGGGATCAATTCTTGCTGGCATGTAGTAAATTCAATTAATCAATTACTTTTCTTTCTTAATTGTAATGATTTTTCATGTGTGTGTGTGTGTGTGTGTATGTGTGTATGTATCCCCCAAACTGGACTAAGGTACTGATTTCCCAAGAAAACAGTGAAGCACTTTCTTACCTTAAATTTAGGATAGTCATTCATGAGAATCGTCACAATTCCAATATATGGAACAAACCTAAGAGAAAACATATTTTATCAACACATTTCACATAAAACAATCAACAAAGAAAATGTTTGCTAAGCATCTCTATGTAAGGAACTAAGAACACACATCCAGGCCCTAAGGAATGGCTTTTGAATCTAGATGGGTTAACAGGACATACACAGGGTTTATAGGGCAAGGAGGCATATGCTGAATACCAAATGAACTCCTACAACCCTGAAAATCTCCTTTGGTGACAAAGAAAAAGTTAAGCAACTTCACCTGACATATCAACCAACTTTGTGCTTTTATTTGAAAAAATATGTGCAACTAAAGACAGAAAAGCAAAGAGGTTTGAAATCATAGCAGAGGTAACAGGGCAATATTTTCTATCTGAAAGACACTAGAACAAGTTAATAAGGGAAAAGAAAGGGGTAGCTAGATGGCACAGTAGATAGAGCACCAGCCCTGCAATCAGGAGGACCTGACATATAACACTAGCTGTGTGACACTGGGCAAGTCACTTAACCCCACTGCCTAGCAAAAGGAAAAAAAATAAGGGAAAAGAAGGATCCTTCTTCACTGGATTTAAAAAGAGGACAACTCTGGGCTCAAAATGGGGCTACGCTATCCCACCTGAAACCAGGGGATAAGACAATAAGAAAAGTAGTTTCAAGACAAACAAAGGAGGAAATTAACAACAAATTTGTGTTAAAAAAACATGGAATAAACTTTAAAACTAGAAGAGTCCTTAGAGATCATATACCAACCTCACTTCTTGACTAATGAGGTTTTCCTCCTTTTTCCTTCCCATCCTAGGCAAGTGTATGTGATGGAGACATTCAGTCAAACTAGAGAGATTGGTCAGGAATTGGGATAGAGACAGGCACTGGAGCTGGGATGTCATCGGGTTAGCGAACTCTGCCAGCTACGAATGAGGAAACTCCTTCTATCAAGGCACGTTAGCCCCCCTACAATGTGTAGCCTTAGAGAATCGCATAGAACAGAGGTGTCATACACTCTCAATAGAACCAGATTAAAATGAAATTAGGAAATGTTGAACAAAATAAATAAAAAGGCCACAGAACATGTGGTTTTCTAAGTCAAGATGCCACCTTTTGTGGCTCTCTTTCTACTTGAGTCTGACACTACTGGCCTAGAGTACCAAGGCATTCAGCGCCTTGTCCTGGATCACATAACCAGTATGTGTCAGAAGTCAGATTGGTATCCAGGTCTTCTTGACTTTGATGCCACACTTGGAATGGGGATAATGAGCTGAATTTGGGGAAATGGAGGTCTTCAATTTTCCAAACTAATTCTGATGTATTAACTCAGGCATCCTAAAGAAGGTACCAAGGGCATAACTGTACACTAACTGCCACCAGGTCTATCTCCTGCCATCTTTACCTTTCCTAGCTTCCTCAAGATATCACTAATGCTCTCAGGTTATGCAGTCTTCCTACACCAGGCCTTAGCTGCTCTCCCCACCCCACTTCAATAGAAACTCTTCTTGCAAGAGTTAGGAATCTTGTAAGGTATTTATCTGATTAATTTACAATAATTTGTGGATAAATGACAGGTTTAATTATTTTGAACTATATAAGATTTTATTTTTTCCCCCAATCACATGTGAAACAATTTTCTAATTTTTTAAAAAAAGTTTTGAGTTCCAAATTGACAGGTTTAATTCTTTTTTTTAAAAAAAATAAGGTTTTATTGTATTAATTTTGTATTCTTTTTTCTTCTTTTTTTGCAAAACAATTGAGGTTAAGTGAGCTGCCTAGAGTCACACAGCTAAGAACGTATCAAGTGTCTGGTCTGAGATCACATTTGAACTGAGGTCCTCCTGACTCCAGGGCCAGTGCTCTATTCACTGAGCCACCTACCTGCCCTGACATGTTTAAATCTTAATGGGATTTCTGTACTTTAAAGGAGAAGCTTAATAACACAAAAAACTTTTTAATTGTCAGAATATGTGGGTCAGAGGCTTTTTTGGGTAGTGAAGCCTCACCAATTTCAGCTTCACCTTCAATTTTTCTTCTTTACTTAACCACTCCACCAGGGAGCAAAACGCAAGGAACAAGCATTGTAGCAATGCATCATCTGTTTCCCCTTAACGCCCACCTTCTGCAAAGGGCTTTGAGGGGCTCAGTCAAACAGAGTGATACCTGGGGGGACAGCTGGCTCACATAGCTCCTCACTGGGACTGTCAGAAATTCATGACTCTGAGGAGAGGGGCTACTGTATTTTTAACACTTACTCTTTGTAATTCAATTACACCGCTGGCATCTTATTGTTGCACTTCTGCTTCATTTCAACACCCACATAAAAGCAACAGCTTTGAGAGAACCCTCTAATTTAAGAATAGGAAAGATTTCAGCTTGGCACTAAATGCTTCAGTGTATCATGGAGACTAAGAACTACAACATCTTCAGTAAGAAGGCTGACGCTACATTGGCCCTTGTGCTCTTTCACTAATACCTTGGTGGTCACCTAACAGACTGGGGGGAGGCTTTCTCTGCCCCCATCCATGCAGTGACCCCTCTGCCCAAAGATCTATAACCACGAATGCTTAGAAAGATGGTATCATCTTCTCTGGCTTTTGTGGGTTGCCATGACTAATCAATTCACCAAGTGGCAGCTGTGAGGAGGCAACAATACACAACTAACAAAAAAATCGCATAAATGAAGCAGTGCAAGCATGTCACCTGAGACTTGACTGAAGAGGGGAAGTGGTCATGTCACAAGAACAAGAGATAACCCACAAGAGCTGCCTGTTCCATTAGTATGCAGAAGTACCATAAGAGCTAGAGGAAGGCCCTTCCAGGGTGTTGGATGAACACCCCCTGGGGCAGTTAAATACAAGCCAATGAGAGGAATCATACCAGTAAAAATGGATGGGCTGTGAGCTTAAACCTTTGGAGGCAGTGTTCACATCAGTGAGGTAAAAGATACAAAGTATCTAAAAAGTACCACAAATGGTAAGATTTTAATGCAAAATTAACCTTTGCTTTCTTTCTTTCTTTCTTGGCAATTGGGGTTAAGTGACTTGCCCAGGGTCACACTGCTAGTAAATGTCAAGTGTTTGGTCTGAGGCTGGATTTGAACTCAGGTCCTCCTGACTTCAGGGCCGGTGCTCTATCCACTGCACCACCTAGCTGCCCCCCTTTCCCTTTCCATCCTATAGATTTAAATTTCTGAGCCATCTCCTACTGTCATGGAGTGGGTAGGGCCATTTTAACATTAATATTAGCAAATTCAAGGTAAACTTGCTGCTGGAAAACTGGTAACAACTTACAACAGAAGATATCCTCTACCCCACTGCTTCCCTTTAGAAGCAAAAATCTCTAAGAGCCAAGTGCTGTGTGACTCCTTTTGATTAGGTCCTGCAGGTACTCACTTTCAGGTATGTGATGCTACTAACTTTATAACTAAATAGTTAAATAGTTAGGGTTAGGAAAGTGATAACTCATTCCACTTGAATGGCTTACGATGCCTGTCTTTGTACAGTACTCTTCTTCTGATACAATTTGAAATAAACTGGCTTCACGTCACTTCACTGTCTTTTCCGGTCTTCTATAGAATAAAACTAGCTGACCTGTCAATAGCAAGGTTAAAATGGTCTGGGGGAAAAATAATAAGAGAAATGCTTTTTGAACGATGAGTCAGTGATCAAGAGATTAACCATTCAGTTGCCAAGAGTATACTCTGGAGAGGGAGAGCACATTTTGCCACATCTGGGATTCTTTGTTCTATAATTCTTGGTATCTTTCTCTTTATTCTAGTTTCCTCATGTGTAAAGTGAGATGGAATTCTTGGGTGCTCTAAGAGGTGAAGTTTTCCTAAAATCCTCAAGCGATGGGGCAAGGAAGAGACCCTTCTTGGGGTAATACTTTACACTCTACAAAATATTTTAAGCAGCTGGACAAACTCGAATTGTTACTTACCCTCTTGCTCTTCCTACTACGTCCTTCTTCTCTAGCCAGAGCTGCCCTTGCTTATATAGCCCTCGATCATCAACAGCATTATTGTCTCCTTTGGTCAAAAACTTGACATGTCCATCTTGCCTTACAAATAACAGGAAAGTCTCAAATCACCAGGTTGCAAGCATGCTTAAAAACACAAAACTGTCATTGTCATTTGTCAACCTTCCTATGGAGCTTTATAGCTGGAAAATATTTTGAAATAATTTCCTAATATCAAAACTAGATTTTAGACATTAAAATGAAGTTGTTCAGGGGGTTTTTCTAAAATAACTGCTTGTTTGTAGTCAGGAACACTAACAGTTATTTCACAATTTGAAAACTGATTGCTTTAATCCTGTTAAAGGTATGATAGGTTTCTAATAATTATTAAATTCAATAGAAAATAAAAGGTTCTATTGTCTTCTACTAAAGTTTTACTCAGTTTTGTTCAAGGGAGTTTGGATAAACTGTCATATCAGGGAGAAGAAAGATGACTTCAGACCTCTGTACGTTCTACTACTCACCTTAGAGATTCTATATCAAAAGCTAGCTGTCTGGGAGGAGTTAAAACTGCAGACAAAATAAAACTGGAAGGTGTTGCAAACACTAAAGACAGAAAAGTGCAAATAGGCACAGAAAGGAAAAGTGATGCCACTTATAAAAATGCAAATAAATACAGAGAAAAATCATCCAGAGACGGTTATTCAAAGGAGGTGATAAAAAGAACATCTGAAAATATGTAGGGGGTGAAAGCAAACACATGCCAAGAAAGGGCTGGCTCCAACAGAGACAAGTAAGGTTGCTGTAGCAATAAAAATACCACCAACCCCACAGAGGCAGGAAATAAGGTGATTTACAGGAAGGCAAAAACTGGGAGATGGAAAGGGGTTGGGGTTTTTTACTGGAGCAGGGGACGCAGTTAATCTTGACTGTTCTTACAGTTGAACTATAGGCAGTCTACAGAATTCCCATATAACATTTAAAGAAACAAGCAAGACAGAGCATTCACTTTATGGGAGAAACTTCTGGAGTTCTGTTCTTTAGTCTGACACTGGAAGAACAGCTTTCTCTGATTTATTCTGTGTAACTGAACTGAGTAATTATTCTCTCAGGGCAATAAGCTCTTATTAGTACCTACTCAAGCACTTTACACCTTATGGGAGACCAATCACTGATGGATGAGGATACACTTACACAGAACTTCGTTGAGGTTTTTACTGACATAACTACTAAACATTTAATATCATCAAATTCTGAGGAACTCAAAGCACTTATGACTAGGTCTTCACCTTCCAGTGATGGTGGGTCAGAGAGCAGAGGCAGAAAGTATCACTCTCTGTAGGTAGAGAAAACAAGATGCAGAAAAGCCAACTCATTCAGTCTCCTCCACTAGGCCGTATGAGAGCCTAAGGCAGCAAAAGAGCCTGAATTAGAACCAAAAATGCATGATCACTGGGCCATCACATCTCTTGTAAGCTTAACTTTTTAATGAAGCCTCTGCTTTGGATTAACAACTACACAGGAAAATGTCCTGCAAGTTGTATTTGTGAAAGCTCAGTATAAAGAGGCTAGAAACAGCAAACTAAGTCAAGGGATTACCAATGAAAATACAGCTGAGGGAAGATCTAAATGGCTCATTATACTGCATACATTTCACAAGCAATTTTTTTATGGTAGAACACATCTTTAAATTAATTTTTTTTTCAATCAACAAGCATCTATTTTTTTTCTCCCACCCATCCCCTCCATCTCCACTGGAGAAAAAAAACAAAAAACAAAAACCTTTGTAACAGAGCAGAACACATCCTTAGTCATACAAATGACTAAAATCATAGAGAAAACAAGATCCCACTGTTTGATGACTATAAAAAAGCATTTATACAGCAAAACGCAGCCTTACAGGCTCTCCTCCAACAAGATGCAAATGTTAAGTTCATATTCATCGTACCATATGCATTTACTGAGAAGTTCCTATGTGTCAAGCACTGTGCTAAATAAGCACTGGAAATACAAAGAAAAAGTAAAAACAGTTAAAAAAAAAGCCTTGAGCTCTCTACCCTCAAGGAACTTACATTCTAACAGGGAAGACTGCTTAAAAAATCAGAAAAACAAGATAAATACCGGGTAGATAGAATGTAATCTTATCCAGGTAATGGTACTAATAGTTGGAGGAGTAGGGAAAGATCAGGAAAGCCCCCTTGAGGAAGGGTGGGATTAAAGGAAGCCAGGGATTCTTTGAGAAAGACACCAGAGAGAATGATTTGTTCAACTATCCTCTATTAATAGTAAGCAAAGCATAAAACAGGGAGATATATACTCACTGAAGGCATGCTGTACACTGATATAGAGGATGCCCTACACAGAGTCCTGATGGAAGACGGACTGTGAGGTCCATTCAGACAATAAGTGACATTATATCAACAAGATCAAGCCCCAGAGTGCTACACCTCAATAAATCTACAACCCCTCAAAAGAAAGAAGCCCAAAAATCCTTACAGGAAAACCAAATCACAGGAGAAAAGTCCACTGAGTTTACAAATTGATACATATATCTTAAAACAGGAACTACAGAAATGGCTTAGTAAGAAAAATGGGGAAAACTTGATAGCAAAAATTGTAACATTTAGTGGGCTCCTTAAGATACACTGTCAGTGGATAGAGCACCGGGCCTGGATTCATGAGGTCCTGAGTTCAAATCTGGCCTCAGACACATAACACTTACTAGCTGTATGACCCTGGGCAAGTCACTTAACCCCACTGCCTAGCCTAAAACAAACAAACAAACAAAAAAGATAGATTGTCAGTTAACTTGAGACATCCTTCACAGAATGCTAAAGCATGGACTGGGCTTTTTTTTTTCTTTTAAAATTAAACCATTTCTAGCTCTTCGAGTAGACAACAGTCTTTCTGGAACAAAAGAAAGGCTTCACGATGAAGGATAGAGAACACAATGCATGTGAAAGAATACAATACATCATAAGACTAACTTTTGGCCTCACTCATCTTTGTGGTCTTGGTCAACTTATGACCCCTGAGGCTCAGCTGATCTATCTGTAAATTGGGGATAATACTATTTATCCTATCTATCTCACGGGATTATGGTGATATTCAAATGAGATAAAAACACATAAAGTACTTTATGATGGAAAAGTACTATATAAGATTGTTAGTATTAGTCATTCAACTACAGCCTGTTGAATTTCTGCTACGTAAAAAATACCATAACAAGTAAAAACTAAGACATAGTCCTGGAACATACGAAGCTTACAACATATTAAGGAGATAGAAGAGATAACACATACAACTCTATATGACAAATTTGATGCAAAACTGACTGTACTGGGATGAACAAAATGCTAACTCAAGGTCCCAGGGAAAAGAAGGAGATAGAATTGAGGGCACAGTTAAAAGAGTCAGCCTTGGCAAGGCTCTGGACCATTCATTTCTTCATCTGAGAACTAAGAGCAATAAAGAGTGGAGAACAGGTAAAGAACTGCGGTGTGTGGAGGCGAGAAACAGAAAACTCCCGATGCACGGTCTTAATCTTAGTGAAACAGGAGAGGCAAGGTATGCTGCTGATAAATATAGTGGACAGGAGAAGGGCTCAAGGAGAGAAGAAAAGTTATTTTGCGGAATGAAAGCAGGATTTGATAAAAGAAAGAAGGGATGATGCAGCAGTAGTGAAAGCCCAGCAAAGGCTACGAATATAAATTTAAAGGGAATGAAATCAGTTCAATTTCAGTATTTTCACCAGCAATATTAGACTAGTGCTTAAAATTTTCCTGGGAGACCTACATGCCAGGTCTCCAACATTTAATCCTTCTAAAACAATTCTTCCCACCAGCTCTTTCCAATTTGCTTTTCTTCTCTCACATTTACCCAGCTTCATTCTAGGTCAGCAGTACAAGAATAGAGGTTAGCCTGTTATGTGCAGATAAGAGCACCAGGTTCCTCCTTCTTCTGCTGCCCAATCAGGGAGCTTTTTTTGTGCATCTCTCAATCTCACGTAGAGGACAGGCTGGAAGACTACACTGTTGATTGGGCGAGGCACAGAAGGATGCTACTTCACGACCACAAGTTACAATCATAGCAGAAGCTGACAATCAGATGACTTCCCTCTTTTGGCTCAAAGATGATGTGATGATGAGCTGTGTATTTCTTCAAATAGGTTTTTAAATTACTAACCACAATAACTTTGCAATATGTAGCATCATACAAAATTATAAGTGACCAATTATAATTGATCTAGGGGTGAAGTGAATTTAGGTATGGAAGACTTGAGCTGTATGATAGGTTGCCATGGGAAAATGAATAATGAGCACAAATAGGCTGTGGCATATTTCCAATGAAGACTTGCATGTATTAAGTGTCATAAAAGACATCATATATTTCTGGGAAAACTGGAAAAGGTGGGCCTGTCAGGTCAGATTGAGTGGTAACAGATGCACATAATCCAAATGTAAAGATATTCACAAAATGTTAAAAAACCTATAGCAGAAGATCTTATCTTGGGGTCTGTAATCCTATGTATTATATTTTATGCATTTAAAAACATTATTATGGGAAGCGGTCTAAAGGCTTTACCAGAGTGCTGGAAGGATCCATGACACCAAAAAAGATTACTTTAACTTAACTTTAACTTAACAAAATTTAACTTAAAGGAAAGCTTCTAACATACTAGGTGAATCCTCTGCATGGGATTCATGAGAGGATATAGATGAGAATCATAAAGGATGAGAAAACATGGAAAGGCTGCCATTTGAACCACTGAAGGGAATATCCACACAGATGACATAAATGTAACAGTCCATTTACAAATGGGACAATATAAAAGAATAAAACTATATTTATTATTTGCATATACAAAAAGGCATTTTACATTAAAAGAAAGGGAGGAAGGTAGGAAAGTTGAAGAGATGGAAGAGGAATCAAGAAGGGAAGAATGTTTCCTTAGCACTTGTTCCCCATCATTATTCTGAGCCTGACAACCTCATCTCTGTTCTAAAGTAGCCCCCTTACAAAGAACCAAAAAAATAAAAAAATAAAGTAGCCCCCTACCTCCACCTGCACTCTTCCATCCTGCCTAGTTTACTGATTAAAAGAGATAATTAATATTGAAATAAATGGCTATACTACTAAAAGTAACTCATAGGAATTTAGAAGTGCCAAAATCACAGCTCTTTAAGTTAGATTCCTCCAGATTACAAAGTAAATCACTAAAAGACCAAACTTTTTGCTACATATCAATGTGAAACTTTCAGAATTCCATGGGAAAGGAAAAGATTTATTTAAAAAATAAATTGTGATGTTGTTTCAACATAAGAATTGTCTTTCGAACAAACTTAAGCTCATCAAATCTGGAAAAGTTTGTGAAAACATTATCTCTGCTAGTAGGAAATAGAGAACTTCTGGCCAGGCCCGATCAAGGCCCTGACAATTTTATAGTGTAAACTAATGTCGCTTTGTCTACAGTAATGGAACCCAGGGAATACTGGTTACAGATAAGATAAACCAGCAGCTTCTGAATGTCAAGGGGACCTTTTGACTACCGTAAAAAGTGTAGGCTGTAATAGTTCCAAACACAATTCATATAAATCTAAATTACTCCTTAATTAATATTCAAATCCTTCAGGATTCTATAGAATAATATTAACTTTCAATATTCAGAAGCTATTTCTTAGTAGAGAAATGTTCTAATTAAAGAGTAAAAGATGTTCTAAATTACTAAAGAGTTAAAAAAGAATTTCCAATTATGGTGATACCAATTTGACACTCACTGAACAAGCAAAGAGTTGGATGTCAAAAAGTTACAAGTTTGAAATTTATCCTCATTCAAAATTAAAAACAGGCAAAACAAAATCCTAACATTTAAAAAAAATTTCAAATAGGCTTAAATATATATTATATCTAGTTAATGGTCAAGAGGGAGGAACTGGAGAAAAAGGAAGAAAGAGAAACAATATAGGTGATACAGAAGAAAATGGTATGGGAAAGACAATGAGATATAGAGGTAAGCATGTTGATCTAAAGTATTAGTCCAAATGATCAACTATTCTTAGTGTTTTAAAAATTCTCAGGGGCAGCTAGGTAGCGCAGTACATAGAACACCAGCCCTGAAGTCAGGAGGGACCTTAGTTCAAATCCGGCCTCAGACCAAACACTTGACACTTACTAGCTGTGTGACCCTGGGCAAGTCACTTAACCTCAACTGTCTAAAAATAAAAAAAGAAAGAAAGAAAAGAAAAAAAGAAAAAAGAAAAATTCTCATCAGATTTCCATAAGTATAAAACAATCTTTTCTGTGATGGAAAAAAAACCTTTTTTTCACTTAAAATTTCTCTTTGAAATAAAAGCTTGTTTCCCCATAATATTCTAAAGATTTTAGTATTAGAATGACAGGACTTGCAGAGTAGAATGATTAGATGTGTAAAACTGATTTAGGTTTTAGAAACTGTCATTGAACTTACACAAATTGATGGAAGCAGAGCCAGGAAGCCAATATACACATCTACAACAATATAAATGGAAACAACAACAGCCACACAATCACCCTAATGATGTGAAATTACAAAGAATAAGCCTGGCCCCCAAAGAAGAGATCATTCCTTTCCTTAGATGTGGAACATTGCATTTAACATCAGATTTTTGGATGTTCTGGTTTGTTTTACTTAGTTTTTTTTTTCTTCCTCCTCTTGAAAAAAAAATTCTTTCTTATAAGAGATAGCTCTCTATGAGGGAAGAGGAGGAGAAGGAGAAAGGAAAGGATACAGGGAGAAATCCAGGCAATGTAAAAACAAAAGATGTCAGTCTTAAATCAAGGAAATCATACAAAATCCTAAGAAATTGTCATTAATTTAATAGCTATTCCTTTGTCAGTATAACAGGGAGAATGGGTGTTGCCACACACAGAAGCAAGGAGAGGACCAAGTGGACTTTACAGAACACACAGGCCACTCCTCCGGGATGTTGCTTTGGTGCTGGGGCTACAGCTATGCGAAATTTAGTGCCCTGGAGCAGACAGGCAGCAAGAGAAGCTACTTCTGAAGCAACTATGCCACCATTTCCAAGGTAAAGAGGTGGCAATTAGCCAGGGTATTTAACAAGAAGAGAGAGCAGTTACTATTTCAGGAACAAATAAGACTGGCCTTAACTGCTGCCTTTGGGCTGAGTTAAGATTGACAGTAAGGAAGAACTGACCCTTGTAAGCTTTTGGTAAGAAGGGAAGGACACAGCTGCAGCTGTGTGGGTGGGTGTTGTTTGTACTCCACCTGTGGGTTGACTAACTTGACGGGGGAGGAAGGGTGCTAAAATCCCTGGAAGGGGGAGTCTGGTTTCACAGTAATTCATATTCAGCTTGAGCTGAGAGTTGAGGATCCACCTCACCCTATCCTTCTAGTGGCCTGATGGAAAAAGTTTCCCCTCAATTCTTTGAAAGCCTCATCCCATAATATCTGAAGGCTATATATAAAATCAGCATTTATGTCACTTGGCAGACCTTTTATCTCTTCCCTTCCCTCCTCCAAATCAAATCCAATTTTTTGGTGCAGTTCAGGGTTCAGTGACTAAGTACATACCCAAGGCTCTCTTAGCCAAAATAAATGAAGAGTCTGTACTTGCGTGCTGATTCATCTCATTAATACTCAAACACATTACATACTATGAAGGGCAGCTTTGGAGGCCAGTGAACTCTGGATCCTCCCCTCACCCTACCGATGAGTTCAAGGCCAGGCCTTCCCCTTCCCCTCCCCCTTGTTCCCTGTCCTAGGGATGCCGTATTTGGAAATCCTTTCCTTAGTCACTTATCCCGTCTTCAGAAACTGTTCCCCACCCCCATTGTTATACTTCCTTTACCTCTCCCCTGGCTAACTTACATACCTTATCCTCCCAGAGCTAGGTTTTCCCTGCTTTTATCCAATATCATACAGTAAGTTAAACTCATGTTACTGAAGTGTTCAAGAAGCAAGGCTGAAATACAAATATATTTACAAACACATATTTATACCACTACTCTTCAAAGAGCTATAGGCTAAGAAAGTTAACAAATATGGCTCTTCTTCCTATAATGCACATTTTAAAAGTACCTACTATGTGCAAAGCACTGTGCTAGGTACTGGAAAGGCTGCTGATCCTTCATCTGGCTAGATTCTGGTATACTTGTAGAAATCAGCAAGCAGGGAGGTGAAGAGATAATCTATCTGAAAAGACTGGGAGGGGGAGGGGAGTTTAGTGGACTGCAAGCTCAGTGAGCACACAGTGTGATATGGCCACCAGAAAACTATCTGGAGTACCGTGCTCATGGACTTCATATTTTAGGAGGGACATTGACGACCTGGGCACAGAGTCATCAAGAGGAAGGCACCAGAATGGTGAAAGGCTGGCAGCTAGATCCTCCGGACTGGGGCAGGTAGAGGAAGGTGGTGCAGAAGACGACCAGGTCAAAGGGAGGATGTGGCTTATTTTCTTCGGCCTTGGCAAAACCAAGGGCAATGAACAGAAATTGCAGAAAGGCAGAATGATGCTCAATGCAAGGAAAAAGATAACAATGAGCACTATCCAAAAAGGGAGTGGGTTCTACCGTCTACCCTTCCACAAAATCCTCAAGAGACAGGTGGATAAAGTGGGTTAGGGTACGGAATCTTGCTCAAGTCCAATGAGATGGCCTTTGTAGTAGCTTCCAATTTTGTGATTCTGGGGAAAATAAAATCCAATACCACAAAAGACACTGAAAATACTTGAATAATCCGAGCACCCATGCTTTGAACATACCTTTCATGAATTTTCAAGACCCGGTGAACAATTGGAATTTCCCTTCCTTCTATCTTAAAGACAACAATCTCTCCTACTCTTATAGGATCTTCAATTCGATTGGTTAAAAAGAGAAGGTCTCCTCTGTGAAATGCAGGTTCCATGCTTCCACTAGGGAAAAAAAAAGCAATATCATTAGAAAAAAGAAATACTTCATTGAGCTTAAACATATTTCAATATTAGATGACATAAAATTCAGCAGAACACCTTTGGAATATTCATCCTCTATAATTATAACTGTAATAATTTGAGTAAACATGGCTTGGGCTTAAAATATAGTTTCCTCTAGCTCCCACTAATGAGTTTTACACTAAAGGTTTGTTACATTATTAGTCTTCATTCGAACTAGCCTATTTTAAGCACTATTATTTGGAGCTTTCTTATATCTTGAAAATGGCACAATGTTACTAATTTCTTAACCTTTCCAAATTTCAAATGAATAACACAGTAGGAAAAGAAAGAGTGAACTTTAAAAACACTGCCCTTATTACATCTGAAAATCACTAGATATATTCTGGTATTCAAATGAGCACTGGATCATCTTTTACTGCCAATTAGGAAGATATGGCAAAGATGACCTTATGGGTTTAACTCAACTGCTCATGAAGACAAAAGTCACATCTCTATTATCTCTTTGTCCCTGTTTTGCAAAGAAGCACAAAGGTGGGAGAAAATGAATAAGGGCTGAAGAATAGAGAAGGTGGAAAAAAACAGATTAATAAGAAAAGGAACTGGGTTTTCAGTTACTTGATACAAATGACTCTTATCGGTTACTCATGACATTCTACAAATTTGCTATGAACATGGTGTCAGGAGTGGATTTTCAGGTCATTACAAATGTACTTCAAAAGGCAATGTTAGGTATTAACAGAATTCAATTCCATAAAGAGAACTTCTGCTTCTTCATCATTCGTTCCCCTAAGCTAAATTTCTTGGTAAAATTTCTAATATCCTTAGTTTTCTTCAGTACTGATAAATTCTCTTTTAGACCCACCCTATGGATTGGTATCCTATTAGCAACAACTTTTTAAAGTTCCTAAGTCTTCCTTCTAGTATCTTAAGGTCAAAGTTGAAGTGGCAATAGATTTATCCATGGGAGAGAATCAAGTGGCTAGAAAGGGAACCAAATTCATGAGGAAGTTTGACATGCCTTTAAATAGAAGCCTTGGCCTCCTCATTTGCTGTGCATAACTTTCCACACTACCATGTAAGGGAAAATGGTTTTGCTTCTTGAAGATGTGATACCCTTACTTCCCCTTTCATTTCTATCTGGTCCCCCTTTTTCCTTCACTGCAGTGACTTCCCTGCAGAATACTAGCTCAGTTAAGTGTTTACACTATACAAACTAATTCACTCCATCAAAGAAATCTCTAGTTTAACTTAAAGGGATATAGTCTCCTTAAGTGTGTTTGTTACAGCTTATTTGACTCATTAATCAGGCTCTGGACAAATTGCATTTTACACCCCAAATGGGCTGATCCACACCTTTAGATCAGACCTTAGAGACTCTTAGTTCTGCTTTACTGGTTTTCACTTCTTATTTATAAACCCTAGAGCTAAAAAGACTTGAGGGGAAAAACATTAGAAAAGTAGGAGAAAATAACTGTTTTTACCTGAAAAATGAAAACATTTTAGAGTATAAAGCTTTTTAAAATTATGTATTTAAAATACTTAAGCCTACATGGCTATTAATTCAGGAGGAAGCAAATGGACAGATTTCTTTAAATATTCCACTATATGATTTCTGGTTTTGATTGTGAGGGGGGAATGGGAAGAGGTCTTTCCCACAGAAGATAGGCCCCTCACAGACAGAGACAGTGTAGGGCGCCTTGCACAAAGTAAGCACTTACTGTTTTCTGAATTAAACCGTTGGCATCTAGTGTGTTATAGGGTGTGGAAGATGAACTGAAGGCAGATAATGTGAGCATCTAAGAAGGGCTGGTGGAATAGGCTGGCCCCCAAGAGCTCTCTATGAGCAGCAAGCACATATTATGGGGGCAGGCACTTGTGGGAATCTTCAGAAGATCCACAGAGGATGTAAGTCCACTGGAGAACTTGGCTCAGGCCCTATACCAGGGTGTTATTTCAGGTGATTTAGTGTGATTGTGCTCTGTGTGTATTACTGCTGGAGGCAATCACCACCTCCATGTGTATTTTAAATACACTTTGGTGTGCTTGCTAAAGGAAAAAGCAAAAGGGTTTGAGGAATGTGACAGGAATGTGACACTTATTCTTGCCTAATAGAAAAAATGAAGAATTTCTAGACTGTCTGCAAGAAATTAAAAAAAAAAAAAACCAGGAAGATATTCCTAGATAGGAGGTGGAAGGAAATTAAATTAATGTCTTTTAGTTGTATGCTAGAAGAATGTGTCACAGGGGAAAGATGTAGACAGTAGAAAAGATGAAACCCTGAAGAGCACTGCTGCATAAAAAGTCATGAGGTTCTTCCCAAAGAAGGTGGACCTGGACCTTCTGAGGAAAAGGCATCCCATGCTCCAAAGAAGGGCAAGGAGTTTTCACTGGAACCAACAGGTACAAACCCAGTACTGGACCACAAAGGAAATGAGTAGTGGAATTTTTAGGGAACCCAAAGAGAGAGTGAGATTTGCCTGCTACAGGGTACAGAGGGAGCTACATGTATACATGACACAACAAAAGGTATATCATCCTCTGAGAAGATACAGCCTAGATGTAACTGGGATGTATCAAACCTGCCAACCACTACTTCTTCCATATGTGTTAGAATGAGGATAGTACCAGAAAGAATTTCTAGGGATTATAAAGTTCTTGGTAAAAAACTGGGAGGGCAAGATGTGGGTGGGGGTGGTGGCATGCATGATAGAGTTGGAGCATTAATGAACTTTTCTCTTTGGAAAGGAAAAGAAGGATATTGGAAATAAACAGCTGTTAAGAAGAAGAAAATGATTTTATTTTCTCGTCTATGTGTTAAGACAACACAATCATGGAATCTTCGCCAGGGTCAAAGACACTGTACTTGATAGAGACTTGCTAATCTCATCAAGAAAGGTTTAAGCTGAAAAGAAAGAGAAAGACAAATATCCCTCTATAATTGTGATATATTAAAGACAAATAACTCTACATAACTATAACTGTTGGATGGCAACAGATGTAACAAAAAAGAGTAATGGTACAGAATATACCAAGTAATCTAGAGGAGGTGACTGGAATAAAGTACTGAATTTGGAATTAGGAAATCCTGAGCTCAAATCCTGTCTTAGTGATTTATTCGCTGTGTGATTCTGGGCAAGTCACTTAATCTCTCTTAGTCTCAGGTCTCTTGCTGGTAAAATGGAATAATAATAGCACCTCCCTTACAGAATTGTTATGAGGATCAAATGAGATAATAAATGTAAAGTGTATCACAAACTTTAAGGCCTTAGATGTCTATATACTAAAATATAGCAGATGGATAACTTTAGAGTGAACAGGAAATTGTAACACAAGTAGAAAAATATGACTAAGACTTAATGGGATAAGACTCACAACCAGAACATGGCAATACAATGGCATAGCTGATTCAAAAGAAATAGATCTGATAGAAAAAAATGAATGTAGGATTATGTGTCAAAAAATATATACATACATTTGGATGGAAATCTATGAACCTAAAGCAGGGGAGGATATCTAAATGCAGATAAAATGACAACCACAGGAATATACTACCCACCTCATGATCACAAGGGAGAAATGGATGATGAGCTCTCAATTCATGATGGATTCAAGATATTTGGGGGCTTTCATTTCCCTAGATATCTAATGAAAGCTGACCATTCAGTTGTCTGATGACCTTCTCTATTGACAATTTCATCTTTCCAAAGGAAGAAACTTCAATGAGAAGAACTGCTGATTGGACCTAATTCTTACCTACAAGAAAGAGCTAGTTGATTGGGGGGATTAATAGGCATTGAGGGAGAAAGTGACTGTTGAGTTAGAATTGTGATTACCAAGGAGGGAAGCACCAGACATAGTCCAAATTATACCTTAAAATTTAATAAAGCAGATTTCAACCAGGTTTGGTATGATGGTCTGGCTCTAAAACAGGAATTCTTAACCTTTTATGTCATGAACACCTTTGGTAGTCTGGTGAAACCAATAGATTCCTTCTCAGAATAACATTTTCAAATGCATAAAATAAAATACACAAGAATACAAAGGAAAGCAACAGATTTAAATATATATATATGTGTGTGTGTGTATGTATGTATGTATTTCATAGACCCCAGGTTAAGAACTCCAGTTCTAAACGAAAAAACAGCTGTCCAAGGGAGAAAGGAGGAGACTGATAATGAAACTGATGCCATGATCCCAAAGAGGAAAGAATGGGGGAGGGGAGGCAGTAAAAAGAGACAGATATGGTTGCACAGGGACTGTTCTCTGCAGCCCTGATTTTAAAAGGATGTACACAAGTTATGGAAGCAATTTACATAATGAAGGACAACTACAAATGACTGACACCAAGCTAAGACACTTGAATCATGTCAAGAAGACTAAAGACAAGAATGAGTTAAGACTTACAGAAAATGTTAAGAACAAAAAGGGCTTTGTAAAAGCAATGTTTGAAGAAAAAAACAAAAACAAAAACCAAGGAAAGCCTATGTCCAATTCACCAATGAGAAAGAACTAATTCTATTCCTATTCCGTTTCTATATTCTGTTAAGGATAATGATCTTCTGATTTTTAAAAGAAACTGAAGCTTAAGATAGGTGAGGCAACAGAGATGATTTACAGTAAAGGGTGCTGAAAAAAAAAGCTGCAGAAGTTATCCATGTACCAACACTAGCAATATTTAACAAATGATTAAAAGAGGGGATGGACAAATGTCCCAATCTTCAAAAATGGTTAGATGACAGATTTTACACACTATAGACTGGTGAGCTTAATATTCATTCTCAGAAGAATTCCATAATTAATTGTTATAAGTGAAGTAGTCACAAGAAAACAGTGTGGGTTCATTAAGAACAAGTAATGTCAATCTAACCTCCCTTCCTTTTTTGACAGGGTTACTAGACTGGTAGAACAGGAAAATCTGTTAAGACATAGTATATCCAAATTTCAGCAAGTTAACTTAACAAAATCTCTCATGATTTCCTTATAGGCTGGCTGGCAATGCTGTTAGAAGGAATCATAACACGTTGAGTTAATAGACTTAAAGAATGGACAAGTCAGCTGTCTTTGTTCTGTTTGACATTTTTTTGGCAGTGTCTTAGGAAGATCCATTTAGCATGCTGATCAAAGTTACAGATGACAAAGCTGAAAGGGACAGCTAACATGGTGGACAAAAGATTAAGGAGATAAAAACTTAACAGACTGTCTCTAACAAGAGCTCATTTAATAAGGATAAATGTAAAGCATGACACTTAAAATTTAAAAACCATTTACAAAAAGATATGACTAGACAGCAGTTCATGTGCAAAAGACTTAGGGGTTCTTACTGACTCCATGCTAAATTAGAGTCAATAGTGAGATAGATTGCCAAAAAAAAGTTAATTTTGGGTGACTACATTAGTAGAAGTATAATGTATAGAACAAGAGAGCATTTATATTCTGGTTAGATGATATCTGGATAGTTTGTTTAGTACTAAATAAGGGACGTTGACAAACTGTAATATGTCTAATGGAGGATAACCAAGATTGTAAGGGGACCAAAACCATGCTATATAAGGCAGGTAGTTTTTTTTTACACACACACACACACACACACACACACACACACACACACAAGTTGAAAGAAATAAAGATGTTTGGCTTGAGGAAAGAATGATTTAATGGGGAAATATATCTGAAAGACCATAAAATGGAAGAAAAATTAAATTATTCTCTATGGTTCCAGAATGCAAACATAGAACCAAGAGGTGGAAGTTACAGAAGCATATTTCAGCTCAAATGACTAAGGAAGAACTTCCTAAGAATAAGAATTGTTCAAAAACAGAATATGCTACCTCATAAGGTAGACAGGGCCCTGTATGTAGAGGTGTTTCAGCAGGGACTGGATAACCATTTGCTCAGAATTTTGCAGAATGGTGGCATCAGACATATAGCTCACAGGCCACATGCAGCCTACAATACTCCCAAGTGTGTCCCAAACCAGATTAAAATGTTGCTCCTATCTGACTTTAATGTGCTGATGTAGTAATAAAAAAGGAAATACAGAAACATGCTTGGTTTTCTAAGTCAATATGTGGCCCACAGGGATCTATCCCTATGGTTCAGTAGTCCCCATTTCCATTTGAATTTTACACCATTGATACAGGCCACATTAAACTACTTGTAGGAATCATTCCAAATCTGGCTTAGAAGAAAAGTTGGATAGGACCATCACAGGTTTCCCCCAAATAATTTCTAAGAACAACAAAGGAAGAAAATGATCTGTGGTATTAGATTTTTACATTTCTTATACATTAACAACAAGCAGACCATTGTAAATACAAAATACAAAATTAAGATATAGCTCAGTCCACCACTGTTATAATTCAACTCAACAAACATTAACTGTTCCATGTATTTATATTACTACGTGCAATATGTTCTGCAAGAAGATACAAAACCAAACATGACATAGTCTGCTTCCCATAAACTTCTATTCTACTGGGAGGGTCCACCACATATGCATATGAATAAATACAAGGTAGTCTAAGAAGGGAGAGAATGCTAATGAGTTGGGGCATCAGGGAAGACTTCATGGAAGAGAGGGAATTTTCGCTGGGCCTCCAGAGAAGACAAGGAATCTAAGAGGCAGAGATGAGATCAGTAGAGGCAGGGATGGGGGCTGGCCTGAGGGAAATCATGGAGATGAGAGATGGAATCTTGAGCTGCGGAACAGCTAGTAGGCTAGTTTGGCAGTAATGCAGAGTAAATGAAGGGGAATAATATTACTCCATCAACAAGCATTTGTTAAGTAAGTGCCTTCCAGGAATAGTAAAACAAGCAATATAAAATAAGTCTAGAAAGACAGGCTGGAGTTAGACTTTTAAGTATGTTAAGTGTCAGGTTGAGGATTAAAAAAAATTCTAGTAGAGGCAATCTGGGAGCTGTTAAAGATTTTTCAAGGTAGGAAGTAAAAATGGTCAGTCCTATGCCTTATGAAGACTATTCTGGCAGCTCTGTGAAGGACAGATTAGGAGAGAGAGACTAGTAGCAGGGAGACCAATTAGGAAGCTATTATAATAATCCAGATAAGATGTGATAATGGTTTGCACTAGGAGGGTGTTGTGGGGCAGATACCTGAGATGTCCTGGTGGTAGAATCAACAAACGTCACAACTAATTAGGATGGAGGGTGAGAGAGATGGAAGAGTCAACCATGACTCTGAGATTAAGAACCCAGGAGGCCAGAATGGAGGAGGGAATGACTGAAAGGAAGCCCTCCACATAATCATGCAGGATAGAGGAGAAAATATTCTAGGAGAATACATAAGATGAACTGTGTTTTGGACACATCACAAGAGAACAACTGTTGGTCTAGTTGACTGACAACTTTCTTTTCTTTTTTTAAAAATTTTTTTGGTTAGGCAATGGGGTTAAGTGACTTGCCCAGGGTCACACAGCTAGTAAGTGTTATGTGTCTGAGGCTAGATTTGAACTCAGGTCCTCCTGAATCCAGGGCCGGTGCTCTATCCACTGTGCTACCTAGGTGCCCCCAACTGACAACTTTCTGTCTTGGCTCCAAAAAGAAAGGAAGTAGTCGAAGCAATCTGAAAGGAGTATCCACATATTCAAAGGCAAAATTGTAAGTATCAATAAAGTTGCTATAGAATTTAACAGGAATACAAATAAAAAGTAAACAAGTAGGACCCAGTGTCTCAGAAAACTTTCCTTTTCTCCATTTCTATTCATATGTTCTGGTCTCTGCTGACTAGTTTGTTCCCTAACTCTCTTGACAAATAACATTTAGTCCAAAGTCAGCCCAAAAAAATTACTCTTACAGCAACATACATTTGGGAAATAGGGAGAGACAATGGAAGATGTGAGAGTTTCACAGCAAGGACCATGCCTGAAATAGTCCTAAAAGTCACAAAATTGGGGGTTACCTCTCTATAAAGAAGTCTCTGTCTTCAACCCTTTTTCTTCTCATTTCCAGAGTATGTACTGTTTACAAACTTAATCCTTCTGTTTTATTGATTTCTCTGTCTCTCTGTTGTTAACTCTACATACAAATTCTTAGACCTTTAATCATTCTATCCAATTTTACTTTAAATCAGTATAGATAAGAACTGAGAAGGCAGAACTCAAAATGGACAACTAAGAACCCAGGAATCTACTGGAAACTTCTGCTTCCTAGTAACCATGAGGGCCAAATTGGTAGTACACTACATGGATAAAATAAAAAAAAAAAACTTCATTATAAAAATATGTTGCCCTCATGCCCCAAGGAGATCACTGACAAATGAAAGGCTCCACATACAAGGAAGTATTTATAGTAGCATTCTTTATGGTTGAAAAGAACTGGAAATGAAACAGAAGTCCATCAGCTGTGGAATGGCTCAACAAAGCATAGGACATGTATGTAACTGAATATTACTGTGCTCTAAGAAACACCACATATGAAGAATATGGAAAAGTACGTAGGCAGAGCCAGGAAAACAACACTATGTACGCCATTGTAAACGTAAAGAATGATCACCACAAAACAATCAAAATCACCATTTTTCAAAATTACAAAGGATAAGCTTTGCCTCAAAGAAGAGATATAAGAAGACAAACCTCCTCACTACCTCCTTGGCAGGGTGAAATATCCACAAGTGTGGATAATTGCATATCATGTCAGATTTTTTCAATATCTAATTGGTTTTTTTTTCTTTAGGCAATTGGGGTTAAATGACTTGCCCAGGGTCACACAGCTAGTAAGTGTCAAGTGTGTGGTCTGAGGCAGGATTTGAACTCAGGTCCTCCTGACTTCAGGGCTGGTGCTCTATCCACTGTGCCACCGAGCTGCCCCTTATAATTGATTTTGTTGAATTTTTTTCTCTCCTCTTCCCCATCTTTGTAAAAAAAAAATTATTTGTTATAAACATTGGCTCTCTAGTAGGAATTACAAGAAGGGATATAGGGGAAAATTTAGGCAATATAAAAACAAAAGATATCAGCAACATGTTATACACACATATAAGATTTTTACTGATATCTTTTGTTTTTACATTGCCTAATCCTAGGATATGTGCTTACGATCATAAAGGAAATAGCGCAGAGGAAAAATTCTGAATAAATAGCAGACTTGGGTCCACACCCAGTGATGTAGGGGAATAGATTCTGAGCTGGAAGATTCAAGTTCAAATCTTGCCTCTGCCACTTACTACCTGTGTGACCTCAGAGAGATAAGGTATACTTCATTCACTTCTTTGGATCTCAGTTTTCTTATCTGTATAATGAGGGGTTTGGACTAAATAACTTCTAAGGTACCTTCCAATTCTAAATCTATCATCCTATGTTTCCTAAGTAATCATTTCAAGGCAGTGTTGGGTTTAGCAAAGAGCATGGATTATTGTTAAAAATCATTATCATTGAAAATGAAAGTGGATTGACCAAAAGCTCTTAATTCACAAAGATCTAAATAAGATTTTTTAGTTCAATATATTAGAGGGCCTGAGGGAACTGGGGACAGATATAATATTAATTTTTAAATAAGAGAAATAGGAAGAAGAGAGTCTATTGACAAAGCACTATGAAACATTTTAATTAAGAGTTCTATAAAAATAGTAGTTTTAGGAGACACTAATTAAAAATGGAGAGGAATAAATTTGAAGTAGTTAACTAAGAGGCACCTCAGAATCCTACCTTTGCTACACAGCCTCTTGGACACTGCTCATCTTAAAGACTTACTTTGAAACCGAACACAGACAGCAGCAGCCCATACATAGAATGACCAAGGCCACTGGGGCTCTGGAGAGGACAGCCATCAAGGCTGCAATTTCTAACAAGTCAATACTAGCTATTAATTTTCAGCTTTGGTTAAATGCAATTCCAGACTTTAAAAAAAAAGAAAGAAAAATAACTTTTACCTGAGCACCACTACAATTGGGCTTTCACTTCCAGTTACTACCATGAGTCCTTTCCAGATCATTAAAGCTGAAGAGACAATCATCCCAAAGTTGAGGACTTGATAATATAGCTGTAAAAACAAAAGAGATGAGATTAGTCATAGTTATGCCTATGAAGGCAGATTATCCAGTATCCATGATACAATTTCAAAGAGTTCCCAAGCAGTTGCCTTCAGTAGGCCATTGAAGTTCAAAGATTTCCCTAAAAATGGTTAGTACCACATTTCTTTTTTTGGCCTATAGTTTTTCTCCCAAAAGATTCTTTCTTTCTAGTCCTACACACTTCCCTCTCCCTTTTATTAACCATTTAGAATAGCAGCCTCCTAACCCAGTCTTCCTGCTTCCAGTCTTTGCTCATTCCAAATCTCTCCTGCAAGATTAAACTTTCATCAGGTCACTCTCCTGTTCAAAAACCTTCTTTGGGTTCCAGGACTAAGCATAAAGTTCAGCATTCATGACCCTCCTGGACTCTACCATTTTAACCTTATATCTCCTACCAGTACTCTTTCTATATGAACTTTTTAGGTGGCTCAGTAGATACGGCATTAAATCTAGAATGAGGAACCACTCTCAGCCTTAGTTTCTTCATCTGTAAAATGGGGATAATACCACCTCACTCCCTCAGTTGTTGTGAGGAAAAAATAAGAATATCTGTAAAGTACTGTAAGCCTTAAAATGCTTTATGAATGCTAGCTATTTTTTATTACTTCAAGAAGACGGAGTAGCCATTTCCTATGCCCCAAGCACACCCCAAGCATGTAGCTCAAATTCTGTGCCAATTATCCTCAAAAGTTGGAATACCCTGTGTCCCACATAGCTTATGCCCATGACACCTGACATCTTCACCGTGCTTTCTGATCTTCTAGGTATGTTCAGATGCATCATCTCATTTGGGTCCCACAACAATCAGCTACTTCTGGGAAGCCTTTTCAGAACACCTCAGGCCAATGATCTATTCTCTCCTGGTCACTGAATGTCCACCACTTCTTTTGCACTTAATCCTAGGACTCAGGAGCTATAAGGGATCTGAGGGATTATCTAATTCCCTTAGATAATTGGTCCCTGCCCAATTCCCTCTATCTTATAAATAAGGAAACTGATATCTGGCAAAGTTAAATAATTTGCCTACAATCCACAAAGCTAGTTAGTAATAGATTCTGAACTAGAGGCCTAATTACATAGTAGAGCGATTAAGTACAAGTAGATCTGGAGAAGGGAGAAGTCAATATAGGTTGGGCAATCAGAGTGGGAGTTGGGACTTGAACTGTGGCCTAAAGAATTACAAGACTTTTCAGATCCTTTATGCTCTAAACTGTTAATTCTGTGATATGTATATAGGCAGAGAAAAAGGCAGAAGGAACTTCAGTATGCTATTGGATAATTACACTGAAGGAGTGGGAGTGGAGTGAGAAGAAAGGACAATAAGAAGACAAATCTTATTGGAGTAGAAGGTTTATGCTGGGTAGCAATGGCAGACAGATTTGGCTAGGTTGAGATAGGGCCATAATATACAGATGACTATAAGTGCTTGATTAAACCTGGACTTTATTTAAAGGGGAATTAGGAAGCCATTGTAGGCTTCTGAATAAGGGGACAATGGAATGAAAATGACTTTTCATAATTAGTCTGGCAGCTATAGGCAGGACAGATTTGAAGAGTATTAGAGGTAGGAAAACCAGTTAAAAAGCAATCCTAGTAATTTTGGGGGGAGGGGGTGACAAGATGAGCGATTGGGCAGAAGTGGTGACCACAGGAAAGAGAAGGGATGAATCTGATTTAAGTAGACAGATGGGAACAGGCCAAATAAATGCAATTAAGAATGTGTTAAGTGTACAAGAAAAGCAAAACATTTGAGTGGCAAAGTATGATAAGCCATTAGAGTGCAAGTTCATTTATTTATTCATTCAATCAGCATTTATTAAATGATTAATATGTGAGTCATTTTGCTAAGAGCTTGGGATACCAAGACAAAAAGAAAGCAGTCCTTGTCAAGGAGATGCCATTCAGTTGAAGAGATCCTAGATGAGAAAATGTGTGTGTGTGTGTGCATGCACGCTGTTGCCCATCCTTTGTTTTCAAAGACGACCAATGACATTCCAGGGGGATGTTTTGACTTGCTTGTGAACTGGATTTAAATGAGGCAGAGTTGCACAGTCATCAGCTTCACACTCTCTCTTCCAGAGTCACTGAAGTCCAGGGGCAAGACAAAAGTCAAGATGACTGGTGATGGTCCGGGATGCAGTGGATGATGACTATGGTGCCTTTGATGTCTGGCCAAGCACTCCATATCACCTGCTTCAGTTCATTTGACCATTCTGCCAAGGGAAATCTTCACATGCTTGGGGAGTGGACACCCCCTTAACACATCAATGGGTTCGAGGTCCGTCAATTACCCTCAACCTAGTTTAACCGTCTGTTGAGACAGTTTTACTGGGGTGTGGATGCTACACCCCAGTGGACACCAAAGGTGGATAAGCAACACTGAAAAGGGCTTGGCAAGCCCTCATACCAGAGGTGCTAGTCCTCCCTGAGCTATCTAACTGCTAATATATATATGTATGCTGATACACATATACACACATACATATATGTTACTATATATGTATTTGTCATTAGGATTGAAATGATAAGTAGTTCAAGTTGAGTCCATGGGAGAGAGCAATTTTCTCAAGGGAATGCAGAATGCAGGGTAAGGGGGAGAAAGAAAGAAGGGGGAGAGAGGAAGGAAAGGGGAAAGAGAAAAAGGAGTAGAGAAGGAGAGAAAAAGAGGGAGGAGGGAGAGAGATGAAGATTAAAAATTCTATCACATACTATACTTTATAATCATTTAAGTATGGAACCGGGTCATTTCTCTATCTCTAGGATGACCCTAACCATTCATAATCAGAGAAGAGCCTAAGAACCCTGTATTCTACAAATGTGCCTTATTTCGTGCATTTTGAAAAAGCTGAATATAAACCATAGCTTGAACAAAACTAGAATACATTAATTTGATGAGCCAAAGTGGTTTTTTAATGGTTTAACGAGAACTCTTTCTTTCTCCTCCTTCCTTAATATTCTCTTCCTTTTCCTCAAAGGAGTCATAGGACACTCTAGTTCTATAAGACATCTTAAAGGATCATTTAATCTAAACTTCTTAGCTTATAAATGAGGAAACTGAGGCTCAGAAAGGGAAATAGCAAGTCAGTATTAGTCTGCACTTGAATCCTAGTCTCCTGGTTCTAGTTCTTCCCCCTTTGCCTCTTCATCACTATCATATACTTAGCCACTATTCTTCCTTACTTTCTGGCGGGATCAGTGTGGCATGTCAGTTGCCACATCATATAACAGATATAAACAAGGTTTACCAATCTGTATTATGCTGGGAGATGCCTTATTTACTGTTCCTGGGGTTAGTGGAAGAGAGCTAGGGTAGTGGGTGGATAGCCTTTCACAAACAGTTAAAAGTTTAATTTGGTATCATTAGCTTATGGAAGCACTGAGGACAGAGGATTTAAGAGAGGCCGAAGGGTGTGGTGAAATATGAACTGACATTTACATACTGTTTTCCGATTTATGATGTACTACATGTTACTTACATTCCATAAGGCAGGTAATGAAGCACTAACCCAATTTTACTGATGAGGAAACTGAGGCTCAAAGAACCTCAGTAATCAAGAGAGCCAAGTAGCAGCTTGGGACAGTAGAAAACAGATTTGGAAGAAGACAGCAGCTCCAGTCCTAGCTACCCCTTTCTGGCTCTCAGACCCAGGACAAGTCAGCCTGGCTCCTTGGGTCCAGGTAGCTCATCTATGACATGAAAGGCTAGATTTGACAGCCCCTGAGATCCCCAGTCAGTTCTAAATCCAGGATTCTGGACTTCCTATAGTCATACAACTAAGAAGCATCTGAAGTGGGATTTAAACAAGTCTCTCCTAAATTTCAAGGCCAGCTCTCTTTGCACTGGGCATAGAAGATATCTGAGTTAATGATCCAATTTCACTAGAAATTAGCTATGTGATCTTGAATGAGTCATTTAACCTCTACAAGCCTCAGCTTTTTCATCAGTAAAATGGAGATAAGACTTGCACTACTTCCTTACAGTTGTGAGGATCAAATAAAAATGTGGAGGTAGTGTTTTGGGGTTTTTTTTGGCATAAAACACTAAGAAATTACAAGTTAAATATGTAAAATACACCAAGGATCTGATTTGATTTTGTAGGGATGGGTATTCCTCCCACAGATCATAATCATTCTACAGCCAACTTGGTGTTCAGGGTTCTGAATGTAGCCAATGTGGGCCCCAGACAAATCTGTTCCTATTGCTGTGATAAGGCCTGAGAAGGGACCTTTGGTGAAGGATAAGCTATGCAAGAGCACACAAATTATAACAATGTTGAATGGAAGCAATTCTATTGTGTTTCCTTGCACTTTCTTGACACTAGATCAGCCTAAGCAGCATTCCTAAGCACCAGAAAAGAATGTGTTTGTTGCACCAGTAAACAGGAGCATGGTAACAAACTCTACCACATAAATTTCTGCAAGGCTCCTTCGGAATGTACATTTCAGGATTTTCTGTATATTATTTTTCTTAGTCTCCTTCTATCCCTTGCCCTGGGGTGGAACAATAAATAGTACCACAAATGGAATCTTTCACATATTTGATAAGTGACAAATCTACTATAAATATTTATAAAACAAACCCGGGTTTAAAAGGTCTTATCAATATGTACTAAAACTATTCATACTAATTAAGAATTACAATACAATTATCTGTAATATGGAAAAAAAATCACCTTATATGTTTCACCTCACTGAGATTATTGAATCGACAAACCCAATGGCCTTTTCTCAATCCTCATTCTCCTTGACCTCCCTCTGCAGCCTTTGACACTCTCTTCCCTCCAGGTTTTCAGGACATCCCTTCTCCTGCTTCTCCTCCTGTCTATCTGACTGCTCCTTCTCTGTCTCCTTTGCTGGATCCTCATCTAGATCATGGCCTCTAACAGTCTGTGTCCCACAGGGTTCTGTCCTGGACCCTTTTCTCTTCTCTCTCTGTACTGCATCAACTGGTGATCTCATCAGCTCCCAC